TCTCACTTAGGATGCCTGAATCCCATAGTGGAGCACCTTGTTCAGTCTGCTCTGCTGTGGATCCAGTTTCCTGCTATAGCACATCCTCGGAGGCAGCAGATGCTGGCTCGGGTACTTGGGTCCCTGCCACCCATGTGGGAGACAGATGGAGTTCCTAGCTTCTGGCCTGCTCGTGGCTGTTGCAGGCATTTGGGGAGTGAACCAGCAAATGAAAGATTGATCTCTCTGTTTCTATTGCTTTCTCTCCCTCTACCTCACTCCTTTCTCTCTGCCTTTCAAATAAAATAAGTAAATTATAAAAGTAGACCCAAGTGGCCAGCGCTCTGGCATAGCAGGTAAAGCTGCCAACGGTGGTTCCAGCATTCCATATGGCCAGCAGTTCAAATCCCAGATGCTCCTCTTCCAATCCAGCTCTCTTCTATGACTTGAGAAAGCAGTAGAAGATGGCCCAAGTCCTTGGGGCCCCTGCACCTGCATGGAAGATCCGGAAGAAGCTCTTGGCCTCTTGGCTCTTGGCTTCAGATTGGTGCAGCACTCCGGCCTTTGCAGCCATCTGGGGAGTGAACCAGCAGATGGAAGACTCTTCTCTCTCTCTCTCTCTCTCTCTTTCTCTCCCTCCCTCCCTTCCTCCTTCTGCCTCTCTAACTCTGCCTTTCAAATAAATAAATAAAATCTTTTTTAGAAAAAAAGTAGACCCAAATATTTACAAGATTTAATATATGATAAAGATCACATCTCAAATTGGTGGGGAAAATATGGTTTATTTAATGAAATGATTGAGGCAACTGGTTAAAATTCTTAGGTGAAAAATGTAGGAATTGAATTTCCTCTTTCATAGTATATATTATGATGTCTTCCATGTGGATCCAAGATGAAGAAATTATGAGATAGTTCTTCATAACTTCAGAGTGGGCAGGGAGTTTCTAATTTGACCTAAAACCAAGAAATCATAAAAAACTGAAAAATGTAGGCACAAGTTTTTACATACAAAAATCTACAACTGACAACACAAAGGGAGAACACATATTTGCAATTCTTAGTGCTGACAGAGGAATGACCTCCATAGGAATTAAGAACTCTTAGAAACTGAACAGGAAAAAAAAAAAAAAAAAACTGAATAGAAAAAAATTGGCAAAAAATATGAAGAAAGAGTTCACAAGTAAGCTAGTCTCAAAAAGACAGATACCATATGTTTTCCCTGAAGTGGGGTCACTAAGAGTACAAAAAAATGTAATGTATATGAATGAAATTGACATTTTGAGAATCAATTATTGCTTAAAGCTCTTGTTTCTACTGTTGAGGAACAGCAGTTTTGTTTTTTTTTTCCTTCTATTTGTTGATTTCTTTACTTAATGGAGGGTTAATCTTAGGATTATAAAATAAGCTGAAAGTATGTCATTGTAGTTAAAAAAGAAACAATAAGAAAGGAAGGAGGAGGGAAGGTAGGAGTGTGGGCAGGAAGGAAGGTGTTGGGAAGTATTACTATGGTCCTAAATATATATATATATATATATGAAGTACATGAAATTTGTTTTATATGGATAAAAAAGAAGATGTGAAATGGTTCTTAAAGCATTAAAAAGAAGAATCTGACATGAGATACTACTTTTGTCAACAAGACTAGCAATAATACAAATGTTATCTAGTACACCACGTTGATGAGAATTTGGAATTATAAGCAGTATTATTAGTAAAATGATAAATTACTATCCAGATTGAGGGAGTTTGGGTAATTTCTAGTAATTTTTATGGCATGTATTATGGTAATTTAAAATTTACTATAGTTTCTGGAAGAAGATATTTTAATCCCTTTCTCTTTTGTTTTCTCTGTTTTTGATCTAGTAAAAATTTGCTAGATTTAGAATATATTGAATACCAAGTCACTGAGAATATAAATGACTTAAACTTACTCAAAACCATGCATTATGGACAGATTTATTATCTCATGAGACTTCTAATTACAAACAATGAAAACTAGTTTAATCAGAGAGATTTGCATATCAAAGTAAAGTTCTAATTTAAGCTTTCTGGAATGGCTTTATGTTATAAAACATTTTTTTTTCCCTCTCTAGTGCTCTACTTTCTGTTTTTTGCTGACTTGCCAAGCCCCAGAAAACAATGTGTTTTCCTTGGATGTGCATATTTTTAGTGGAGAACAGAATGTTTTCCTTCTCTGTCATTCATTAATAATGTGAAGTTTTGTGTGTGTGTGTGTGTGTGTGTGAGAGAGAGAGAGAGAGAGAGAGGAAGAGAAAGCTTTTGGTGGAGGATCTTGCAAGATTGTATAAAGAAAGCGATAGGAAGCAGGAGGCAAGGAGAGGCAAGGAGAGGCAAAGGATGGGCATTTTGTGATAGTGGATGCTTTGTTAACAACAACTGCAGTTTGAATGGATAAAATTAAGCCCATGTCTATATTATTGAAAAAAAAGAGTTTAATTAGTAGTATTATCTTTATATGAGGGCTCTTCAAACAGTTCATGGAAAATGCATATTATGAAAAACCTACAAACAGATCTCAAAAATTTTTGCTCCCAAATAAGCTTATCTTTAAATTCCATTTTTTGAAGAGCTATTTTTGAAGCCTGCTCATAAAAAAACAGACAACACATTGCTACTGTTAACAGTCCCCTATCCTACTTTTTTGGTGAATTAATCTTGTCACATAATTTGATATCCCTAGCATGATGTAGTAGAAAAATCGTAGGATTCAAATTCTGCTTTATGACTAGTCTGTCGTTGAGCTTCTCCATGACTTGGTTTTCTTTTATGTGAAATTGAGTTAAGAAATGCCTTCTTATGGGACTTGTGAGGAAAAAAGCCTCCACCGTGGTGCCTGGCCACACCAGTGCTCAGTGGTGACTCCTCTGTCCCAGGTTAGGCGGTCTTCATCCATGCTCCCTTAGCTCCCTGTGCATATGGCTGTCAGAACACCTCATACCCTCCTGCTGTTTATTTGATTACTTTCTGGGTTGGACTCTGCTTTTCATCTCATCTCTTGCAGTTAAGACATTGCCAACCATATTAAGTGAACAGAAATATTTAAATGCTTTTAAAAAATAAGTACAGTTTCATTTTAGTATTTTAATATGGAAATATTTTAAATGGCATTAAGTATAACATTATATGAAATTTATTATGGATATATAGCAATGGACACATCTGTTATACTTGGTTATGTTCCAAGGGGACCTGGGGACCCTGTGTACAATGGGACAGATCACCAGTAGGTGGGGATCTTACTCACTTTGATACCAGTAGAAAGACTGCTCTGTTGTTTTATATCTCCCTTTAAGCTGAGTGTAAATATTCCTGCCTTAATGTGAGGAGATGCCAAGAGCCTAAATAACTTTTCTAAGGCTATGTGACTAACACACAGTGGTTTTGCCATTTGAGCTTAACTTTTTAAACTTACCTGTAGTGCATTTTCTATGATTTTTAAATAAGGTAAATACATTTAGAAAACTTACTACATAGTGCTAATAAATGGTAGTTATTGTTGTTATGTCAGGCTTTCTCCTTTGAGACTTAAGAATCTTCTCCATCTGTGTATTATTAAAGCAATCTGCAATGAACTTACACAAACTTATGTTGAGAATTGAACTCTTTCCCAGGGCTCTATCAATCTTGTGACAACTGCAGTGGCTCTTGACTCTTGACGTGGGGTCACTGCTAGTCAAAGCCTATGGATGTTAAGCTTTTCCCTCTTCTTCATGGGGTACTGGGTAACTCTTTGTTTCATGCCGTTGGGTTTTTGCTGCTGAGAGCATTGTTCCTTGCTGGCTTCACTTCTCTGCTGTTCATCCGAGTGCTTCTGCTGTTCTGCTGCTTGCTACTGCAGTGGCTATGAAGATTGAATGATGTTTTTGACAACCAAGCCAGAGTATAGAGCAGTATGTTAGGTCCCCAGAAGGAGCTGACTGTCCAGAGTCCATTCAATTTATTTACGGAAGGATCTATATTTTTGCGTGTATTGGTTGAAGAAGAGTTAGGGTGATCACTCTGATTTCAGTTCTCAGTTTTGCTTCTCACATGAACTTTGGGATTCTGAGTCTTCAGTTTCCCTGAGATTCTGCAAGACAGATTCTTCCTGCACCTGTTTTCCTCAACCAGAATTTTGCCATTAACCAGCTGACGGTGTGCTGAGATACAGGTTCCCCTCTGCCTCTTTAGAGGATGTCACTTTCTTTATCCTAGTACTGCCTACATATATTATCATTTTCTGTATGTGTGCTCAAACTTAAAGTGTTTAGGTAGTATGGCCCTAGATTTTATCTTCATCAGTTCTGTTTCGTCAGTTATCACCACACCATCTATTTTTTTGTCTTCCAGAAGCTTGCAGAAACTTGTACATTTTTGTCTGATGACTCTTTTCTCATTTCCTTCTTAACATTATGAGTTTGAACTATTTGTAAATATTTACTCTCATATTAGTGGGCTCTTAGGAGGGAAAGAAGATACATATGAAGGTCAAAGTACCATTTTAACTGGAAAATTATTTTTTATTTTATTTTATTAAGCCCTTACTGTTGTACAACAAACTGTAGGTATTTAAAGTAAGGCAGTTTGCGAAGTTTTGACATGTGTATCTAATTGTAAAACCACCACTACCAACTGGATACCTAATGGAGCTTTGAGGAAACCAAGGCCTAAAGAAGCCCAGAAGCTCCAATGGGACCAGGGTCGATCAGATTTCAGGATCAGTGCTCTAGACTGTCAAGCTTGGGTTCTGACTTGGGAAGTCACCACTGACTAATCCTCATCTGTGTGGGAAGAACAGTCTCTCTGAATCTGAGCTTCTCATTCCCTCACTAAGAGAATTGTACTAAGTGATCCTAATGTCTTTTTCAAATGGAAGTTCTTTTGCTTCTTTCATATTTCTTATGCAGAGGTAGTAAAGTCTCTATTCAAATCAGTTTCTTGTAATTAAATGAACTGCACTATTCTCTTATTTTCACAATGGAGCTATATAAGCATTACAATCTTTTTTTTTTTCTTTTCAGAAGAGTATTTAAGAAGCTCATGGAGTAATATGAGTCAGAGTAATATAGGATCTGAAGGAAGTCCTTCAAGAGAGTTGGTGAGATAATAATATTTTCTGTTTTGTTCAAGTATATCATAATTGTTTTTTTAATTATTTTTTGACAGGCAGAGTGGACAGTGAGAGAGAGACAGAGAGAAAGGTCTTCCTTTGCCATTGGTTCAACCTCCAATGGCCGCCACGGCTGGCACGCTGCAGCCGGCGCACCGTGCTGATCCGAAGGCAGGAGCCAGGTACTTATCCTGGTCTCCCATGGGGTGCAGGGCCCAAGCACTTGGGCCATCCTCCACTGCCTTCCCGGGCCACAGCAGAGAGCTGGAAGAGGGGCAACCGGGACAGAATCCGGCGCCCCGACCGGGACTAGAACCCTGTGTGCCGGCGTCGCAAGGCGGAGGATTAGCCTAGTGAGCCACAGTGCTGGCTATATAATTATTTTTCTGTCTATAAACTTCATAGCCTTGTGTTCATAAATGCATTTTCCTCAATCTTTTATTATGTGATTTTATAAGTACATACAGGGCCGGCGCTTCAGCTTAGTAGGCTAAGCTGCCACCTGCGGCGCCAGCATCCCTTACGGGCTCTGGTTCACATCCCAGCTGCTCCTCTTCCCATCCAGCTCTCTGCTTATGGCCTGGGAAGGCACTGAAAGATGGCCCAAGTGTTTGGGTCCCTGCACCTGTGTGGGAGATCTGGTTGAAGCTCCTGGCTCCTGGCTTCTGATTGACCCAGCTCCAGCCATTGCAGCCATTTGGGGAGTGAACCAGCGGATGGAAGACCTTTCTCTCTGTCTCTCCCTCTCTCTGTAACTCTCTCTCTCTCTCTAGAATAAATAAATAAATAAAATCTTTAAAAGTACATATATGAAAAAAGTACAAAAATATATATTTAAGATTTATGTAAGTATTTGAAAGGCAAGTGACAGAGAGGGAGGGAAAGACACAAACAGCAAGATCATCCATCCTTTGGTCTACTCTTCAATTAGCTGCAATGGCTCGGTCTATCCAGGCCAAAGCTAGGAGCCCAGAGCTCCATCTGGGTCTCCCATGTGGGTGCCAGGGGCCCAAGCATTTGGTCTAAGAAGCAGAACAGCATAACTTTAACTGGCCCTCTGATATGGGATGCCAGTGTTGCAAGTGGCAACTTAATCAGCTGTGCTACAACGCCAGCCCTAATTATTATGTGATTTTTAAACTTAGTAGTGATGGAAGCTCTAAGTTACCTAATGCATGGCTGTATGAAGGGCTTAAAAAGAGTTTGTGTAAAAAATTGAATTAAACAACAATGTGGGGGCCAGTGCTGTGGTGCAGCAGGTTAAAGCCCTGGTGCCGGCATCCCATATTGGCAACAGCACGACTCCCATCTGCTCCACTTCCTACCCAGCTCTCTACTATGGCCTGGGAAAGCAGTAGAGGATGGCCCAAGTGCTTGGACTCCTGCACCCACATGGGAGATGCAGAAGCAGCTCCTGTCTCCTGGCTTCAGATCAGCTCAGCTCTGGCCATTGCAGCCATTTGGGGGGTGAGCCAGCAGATGGAAGACCTCTCTCTCTGACTCTACCTCTCTCTGTAACTGTCTTTCAAATAAATAAAATAAATCTTTAAGAAAAAAAAACAATGTGCATTTTCCATGAATTTTTGAGCCCCCTTCTATTCATCATCTTTGCCAGAGAATACAGTTTTTATAGATATATTCATAATGATATAGACCTGCTATCTATCTAGAAAGCTGTGTTTACACTTCTCAGATGTTATCATCAGTGACTAAAATGCCATAGCCCAGAATTACATCTAACATCTATATACATGCATATATTTTTTATGTGCCAAGTATATATGTTTTAAGGCAAAGTTGGAATCAAATTTGACTGTTCTAAGAGCTGACAGTTTATTTTCTACTTCTCCAATCTTAGGAAAAGAAGACTTTCTAGACTCTTCATCAAGTTCTTCATTTACACAGCTGTTAAATCCAAGGCTACTGTGGTGAAAGCATGAATAAAAATACATCTACTGTGGTGTCATCTGGTCCACTTGAAAAGTAATCTTTAAATTTTTTAATATGTTTTAGAATATCGTAGTTTAAAATATGTAGATTCTTAATGAACTTTTAGTAGAGAGGTTTTGTTTTTATAGCTAGCTGTCCAGTGTGACCTAGGATAGCAATAATGAATAATGAACAAAGTATTACACTGAATTACCCATATTTCAGCCAAATTCAATGTATGGGCCAAAATCTGCATTCTCTTTAAAATTATTTGAAATACTCTTAAATATTTGATTTATAATTTCTGTATAAAAATTACCTAATGTAAGATTAGCTTCTGCTAACAAACCACTCAAAATATAACAGTCAGCATTAAATATTTTTCATGTAAAAGGTTTCATTCGTATATTCGGAGGCCTCAGCTTAAAGCAGGATAGCTGAGATCTCTTTTGACCTGGTCTCATTTTTCCAGAAGCTACCTTAGTCTTCTTCACATGGTGGCAGAATCATTCCTCTATAAGCAGTGTCGAATTTCCTCACATTTCCTGGCGTCACATTGGCCAGAGCAATTCAAATAGCAAAGTTCAAATTCAAGGAGTGGCTTTTAATGGAAGGGAGTAGTAAAGTCACATTACCAAGGGTCATGCAGACAGGGACAGGAGGCACTGGTGCCATTTCACAAATGCATAACATACATTTAACAAGGTATATTGAAAATTCCTGTTCTTGTCCTTTACTCTGTGCCCTCATTCCTCCTAAAGATAACCTTTTTTTTTTTTTAAGGATTTATTTATTTATTTATTTATTTGAAAGGTAGGACAACAGAAGAGGGGTGGGGCAGATATCTTCCATCCACTGGTTCACACCTTAAATGTCTGTTACAAGGCTGGGTCAGGCCAAAGCCAGGGGACAGGAACTGCATCCAGGTCTCCCACGTGAATGGCAGGGGACCAAGTACTTGGGCCATCATCCACTGCCTTCCCAGGTGCATTAGCAGAGAGCTGGATCAGAAATAGAGTAGCCAGGACTTGTACTGACATCCTAGTATGGGGTTGCCAGTGTCACAAGAAGCAATTAACCCACTGTGCCACAATGCCGGCCCATAGATAACCTTGTAATATTTATTTATTTGCTTACTTAACAGAGAGTGATTTCCCATCCACTGTTTACTCCCCAAATCCCTGCAATGGCTGAAGCTAGGACAGGTTGAAGCCAGGAGCCAGGGACTTGGTATAGGTTTCCCACATAGGTGGCAGAGATCCAAGTATAGAACCATTATGTGCTGACTCCTAGGGTAAGTGTTAGTGGCAAGCTAGAAAAGGTTTTCATTTTTCCTTGTTACAGCTACATAGTATTCCATTTTGTGGATGAACCATAGTTTATTCAGCCAGTACCTTATTGATAGAATCTTAGATTGCTTGCATTTTTTGGTAGATATAAATTATGCCAAAATAAATAACCTAATATATAAGTCATTTTTTTCTTTTGCCAAAATATTTTTGGGTTTATTACTCCTAGAAATGAGATTGCTGAATTAGGTAATAATTTTTTATTAGAGATTACCAAATTTTCTCTTTAGAAGTTGTACCATTTGTAAATCCAGAAACCATGTACAAAAGTGCCTCTTTTCCTATAGCTTTGCCATCAAAATACGTTGTCAAAGTTTTAAACTTTTATTGATCTACTAGATAAGCAGTAGTATTACTGTATGGTTTTAATTTTAAATTCTGTGATTATGATTAAAATTAAACAGCATAACTATTTTTAATAGCAAAAATGAGATTAATGTAAAATCTTTAAAAGTTTTACAATAAAGTCCTAGCCATGTGTATGAATTATGTGATGCCATTGAAATTTATGTTTTAGAGAAACTTTTAACAACATGGAGGTTGGATATAATATTTCTAGGTAGAAAAGCAGGATCTTAAACTGTTTATATTAGTATAGTACAATATCAATTCAAAAGAAACAATATAGAGGAAAAAGATTAGACATATGGTACTGTATTAATAATGCATATTCTGTTGGGGTTAGAAAAAGTCAGGAGCTGGGGCTAGCACTGTGGCATAGTGCATAAAGCTGCCGCCTGCAGTTCTGGTATCCCATATGGGTACCAGTTCATGACCCGGCTGTTCCTCTTCCAATCCATCTCTCTGCTATGGCCTGGGAAAGCAGTAGAGGATGATCAAAGTGCTTAGGCCCTGCACCTGCTTGACCAATAAGACTGCTGACCAGAGAGTTCAGAAGCAAAACTTGAAAGTGTTCCTTTGACAGATTTTTTTTTTTTTGACAATTCCTTCTTTTATAATGGCATTACTCTTATGACTGGCAGAAATTATAGCTGAAACAAGTATTTTCTACCAGGAAAATATTCTTTCTAACTTAAAAAGATAAACTTTATTTTTAGGATTCAAATAAGGGTAATATTTATTTTTCTTTAAGTGGCCAAAAATATATCTTCCAAAATTATTTACCTAATTCATCAAAATGTTCAGTTTTGAAATACTTCAATGTAGTCTAATAATCAACTAAAAGCACATCCCTTTGGTTATCTTTAAATTCACTAAAATGATAATTTAAAACATTTTCTTTGTTAGAGTCCAAAGAAATAAGCATCTCTACTGTAAATACCTTTATGTTTTAGTTGTTTTGTAGAGAAAACGTAAAATACAAGTAAAAAATTCCACTTGGTTGCTTTATATCACCATATTTTTTAAAAATCTAATTGCTTGCAGGCATTCTTTTTTTGGGTTGTCTAGATCTGAGAATTTGACTTAATAGGTAGTTTAAAGAAAAACGAATGTACCAGTCTCTAACTTGACCTGTGAGTGCCTGTTTACTTTATTTCAGGGACCCTGCCTTTCAGATGATCACGATTCTGAAGGAAACAGGTCTTGGTCTGAAGATCCTAGGAGGAATTAATCGGAACGAAGGTCCATTGGTTTATATACAGGAAATCATTCCTGGAGGAGACTGTTCTAAGGTAAAGATAAAAATATCCTCTCCCATATCAAAATACCTACCAGTGGTAAGGTTTATTTTCTGACTTTTTCAATAACTTTGGGTATAAACTGAATGTCCACCATGACCATATATCTCAAAGATACAAAGAGGGTAGAAGATAGACTCTGAGCCGGCGCCGTGGCTCACTAGGGTAATCCTCCGCGCTGGCACACTGGGTTCTAGTCCCGATCGGGGCGCCGGATTCTGTCCCGGTTGCCCCTCTTCCAGGCCAGCTCTCTGCTGTGGCCAGGGAAGGCAGTGGAGGATGGCCCAAGTGCTTGGGCCCTGCACCCCATGGGAGACCAGGATAAGTACCTGGCTCCTGGCTTCGGGTCAGCGCAGTGTGCCGGCCACAGCGCGCTGGCCGTGGGGCCATTGGAGGGTGAACCAACGGCAAAGGAAAACCTTTCTCTCTGTCTCTCTCTCTCACTGTCCACTCTGCCTGTCAAAAAAAAAAAAAAGAAGATAGACTCTTACTCTGAAAGGAGCATTAAACCAACAAATGAATAGGTTTCTCACATATGAAAGTAACACCTATGTCAGCCTCCAACTACAGATTATGTACTTTTAAGTTATATACTTTTATCCCAAGACTGATTCAGAGACATTATATTTGAAGACATCACTGCTCTGGGATTGGCCTAAGCAGGTCATTTGAACTTGAAAAACATTCTTTTAGCCTCTCCTAAATGCAAAATAAGACAGACTTGTAAAAACTGAAAACAAAATGTGAATTTGCAGTTGCAGTGCTGTTTTTTGTTTGTTTTTACAGGCAGAGTGGACAGAGAGAGAGAGAAAGGTCTTCCTTTACCATTGGCTCACCCTCCAATGGCCGCTGCTGCTGGCACACCACGCTGATCCGAAGGCAGGAGCCAGGTGCTTCTCCTGGTCTCCCATGCGGGTGCAGGGCCCAAGGATTTGGGCCATCCTCCACTGCACTCCCGGGCCACAGCAGAGAGCTGGACTGGAAGTGGGGCAACCGGGACAGAATCCAGTGCCCCGACCGGGACTAGAACCCGGTGTGCCAGCACCGCAGGCGAAGCATTAGCCTAGTGAGCCGCGCAGCCAGCCTGCAGTGCTTCTTATTGAGTGTGCTAGTTCTACCACTCACTAGTTGCTCATGTGAGAATTTATATTTAGAACCCATTGAGAAATTAGATTTAGAATTAAGACAACAGAGTTCCTTTTATTGGTGTTTTTTTGTTTTGTTTTGTTTTGTTTTGTTTTAATTAGGAAGTCTGTCTTTGCTCTTCCATGTGAGAAATGTGTAATGTCATGCGTTCTTTTTTGTTTTGGTTGCTGAGAAGTCAGACCCAAATTTAAGGCAAATTCACAACAAGTTATTTAATAGGTTACTATATTTGAATTTTCATTTCTCTTGAATTTCATTTGCTATTTCTGTTTTACTAATGTAATTGTGTGTGTGTGTGAGAGAGAGAGAAGGAGAGAGAGGCAGAGGGAGAGAGATATTTGTAAAAATTTCCTGTAGTCCTTTTTGGAGAGATTAAGTTTGTTCTTATTTATTATTATACTTCCCATTGTAAATAGTCCTATTCTTACCATCTCCCCTACCACTAGAAACTCTTGAGTAGCAAGCAGTTTACTTATCTGAATTGTTATTTCTTAATAAGGAAAAGAGTTTCACTAAAACCTTACAAAACAGTTGTAATAGTTATAACTGTTTCTGGCTTTGTTCATATAAGACATGTTCCAAATATACTTTTCATATTCTAAGTATTACATTGTAAAAATAAGATATTATAATGATATATATTTTTGGCTTTTAAAGGTGAATAACTAACCAGAGAAGAACATTTATAAATGCTAAATTTAATGAAATTATAACAAGGAAAATGAAGTTTTTTTTCTTCGAAGAATTGAGATGGTTAATACTACTTAGTTTTTTTTTTTTTTTTAAAGGGGTGCATATGTTTGTGTATGTGTTCAGTATAGCACTATATTCCTTGGACCATACTTGATATTGTGCTGTAATCAAAAAGGGATATAACAAGTGATAGGAATCTGCATCTGCTTTTAAGACAAGCATCAATGTGTGCTCTTTTACTTCTATGACAAGCATTTGCTGTTAGAGTAATACATTGATAACAGTGGTACTTACCAGAATGACTCTTCATCAATCTGCCACCAGTGAGTGCAGATTAAGAAATTATACCCATGATGTGTATTTTTTATGTTGGTTTTCTTAACATTTCATTGAAGAGTTTATTAAAAACAAAACCTTCTAATGGATTTTCTACCTATGTACCACTAGAGGGAAGCACATAATTATTAATCCTCTGTCCTGATCACATCCCACAGAAGAAAACAGCCAAAATAGAGAAATGTACAGGAGAAGAATAAGTAGTTTTCCAGTGCTCACATTTATTTTTGACTATTTCCTCAATATGGAGATTTATTGCATATCAAATATATAAATACAAAATAGATGGAATTTTTTAAAATTTTTGATAATATATTTACTACATTTTATAGCTGTTTAAGGCATTCTAATAACTTCTTAATCTGCATTAAATTTCTGAATAGTAGGTGTATTTATGTTATATTTATGAAATGGGAAATATAAGCTAATAACCATCATCAGATTGCTGAACTCAGCAACTGTTAATGTTTTAAGTGCGTATGAGTACTTTAACTTAATGAAAGTTTGTTTTAACAATATAATGTTTAAAAATTAACAAGGTAGGTTATCTTAATTTATATCTGGATTATATTCCACTTATATTCCAAAACTTCCAAAACTCTAAAGGAGTTTTTGGAACTCAGAAGGAATTTTCTTTCATTAATTATGATTAGGTACTGTAGCACCCCCCATTCTGATATTTTTCTCCTGATGAATATGAGAATATAAAACTGGTTTAGTAAAACCAATATTGTGTTTCTTTGAAAACCATACTCAGAGTTGGAAACTGGAGGTAGCATGAATACAGATTTCTTTTTTTTTTTTAAAGGTTTTTTTGTTTTGTTTTTTGACAGGCAGAGTGGATAGTGAGAGAGAGAGACAGAGAGAAAGGTCTTCCTTTTGCCGTTGGTTCACCCTCCAATGGCCGCCACGGCTGGCGTGCTGCAGCCGGCGCACTGCGCTGATCCGAAGGCAGGAGCCAGGTGCTTCTCCTGGTCTCCCGTGGGGTGCAGGGCCCAAGCACTTGGGCCATCCTCCACTGCCTTCCCTGGCCACAGCAGAGAGCTGGCCTGGAAGAGGGGCAACCAGGAAAGAATCCAGCACCCCGACCGGGACTAGAACCCAGTGTGCCGACGCCGCTAGGTGGAGAATTAGCCTATTGAGCCGCGGCGCCGGCCAATGAATACAGATTTCTAATTCAAGTGAAGAAAGAAGATTCTCCCAGCTCTAAGAGCTAGAGGCAACCTATACATTAAGAAGGAATATAATAAGTACTGAATTAAGGAAATATGAGAATTCTAAGGTCTTTCTACCCTATCAGCTAGTTCTATTGTCAGTGCAGAGTTCTCAACTTTTAATCTTAAAATTTTTTTTGGCCTGGACACTTACACCCACATATCCAATTTTCTGATCAAACTTGAATCTCTTAAAGACATCTGAAACTCAGCATTTCTGAGGCAGAATCCATATTGTTCACCTCAAAACCTCATCTTCTATTCTCTTCCCAAACAATACCTCTTCCATTGGTGAATGACACCTTCCATTTACAAAGTGAGAATGCTTAGTAGCTTCCAACTTTCCTACTTTGTCTTCCGAAACAGCCAATTCATTAGCATATATGGTGACTTTTTTACTTTGAGTATTTCCTTAACCCATCAGTGTTATTAATCAGAGGAGATCTGGTCACCACAGTTTAAATTATCATCAGTTTTTATCAGGACCCTCAGTGAGTTTGTGTGCTCTTATACACCATGCATATTTCCCTCCCAACATATCTTACTAATAATTGGTTGCCTACAATTTCAGTAAGGTGTGGCTTCTGCCTCTGTGGCTCTTTATCTTGATGCCTTCAGAGGCACATTCTCTCAGGTCCTGGGATTGGCTAGTTTCTTTCTTATCTCATATGCTATTCCATCACTCTCTTCCATTCCTCCATTACTACCATATTTCAATACAAAGATCTGCTTAAGAGATGTATTCCCTGTTATCCTCTAGTATAGCCCTGGTTTTATTTTTCCTATATATGCTCCTGGTACCTTTTCCTTTTCTTCATGTCATCTATCTTACTTTGTAATGATATATAATGTTTGTGACTATTACCTCCACCTGACCCATAAAACAATATGTTTCTTTAAAAAAATGTATTATTTATTTGAAAGGCAGTGTTCCTGAAGCCAGGAGCCAGGAGCCAGGAGCCTCCTCTGTGTCTCCCACATGAGTGTAGGGGCCCTAACACTTAGGCCATAACTACTGCTTTCCCAGGCCATAGCAGAGAAATGAATTGCAAGTGGAGCAACCAGGACTTGAACCACTGGCCATAAGTGATGCGGGCATTGCAGGCTTCACCCACCATGGTACCATAGTACCGGCCCCACCATGTTTTTTTTTTGTTTTTGTTTGTTTGTTTGTTGTTGTTGTTGTTTTTTTTTTTTTTTTTTTTTGACAGGCAGAGTGGATAGTGAGAGAGAGAGACAGAGAGAAAGGTCTTCCTTTTGCCGTTGGGTCCACCTTCCAATGGCCGCCAACGCTTGGCCGCCGCCGCCCGCGCGGCTGCGCTGATCCGAAGACCAGGTGCTTCTCCTGGTCTCCCGTGGGGTGCAGGGCCCAAGCACTTGGGCCATCCTCCACTGCCTTCCCTGGCCACAGCAGAGAGCTGGCCTGGAAGAGGGGCAACCGGGAAAGAATCCAGCAGCTTGTTAATTATTGTGAATTTATTGTGTACCTGAACTGTTCTGGGGAAACAACCTTGGAAAAGACATGGTTCTGGCCAACTGAAAGAATCCCTGCTGGTAATTTGGGAGTTGCTGATTTAATATGCTATAATTTTGGGAGATGGAGAA